AGCACACCCCAGCCCCTCACTGGGTTTTTCTAGGCAGGGGCTCTACCACTGAGCCACACCCAAGCCTCTCACTGGGGGATTGTAGGCAGGGGCTCTCTACTGAATTACTTCTGATGCAGTAGTCACTCAACAGAGAGCAGAAACCAAGCAATATTTAAAGCCAATGAGATACAGGGAACTGCAAGGACATTTTGGGCACAAGCATAGAAAAGTCCAAGAAACTTTGGAGGCAAATGGTGGCCTGTGTGGGAGGCTGTGGCCGCGGGAAGTTAGAAGGGGCTGAGCCGGGTGAAATGAGAGTGTAGTATTTACAGTTCATGCTTAGTTTGGTGGAACTTCATCGTCGGGGTTACTGTGGGGCCATGGGAAGGCTCGAGCAGAAGGGCTCAGAAGGGCTTTCAGCAGTGAAGGTGTCTGAGAGTTTAGAAGTAAAGACGTAAAGAGGATGGGAAGGAGGGAGCATGAGGCTGGTCCCAGGGTGAGGTGCGGGGCACGGAGCGCTGGCCCAGGAGTAGGGGCTGCTGAAAAAGGGCTCTCAGGATGGCTCTGGGTATGGTAGGTGAGGGACAGACACAGGCTGAGGAAAAGGGGCTCCAACCTGGACCCCTGGTCTGAGGGAGGAAAGGATCAGGGTGTAAGAAAAGAAATGAGTACAATGCGAATCCTAGACAAGCAGACGCAGCCCTGGAGAGAAATGGGGGCTCAGACTCTAAGGCCAGGACGCTGCTCTTGGACAAACAGTCCCAGCTGACAGTGCCCAGTGCTGACTGGTCCGAACTGTGACCTGGACGGATGTTAACGCCTTTAGAGAGCAGGTGACGCGCTGAGGCCGGCACACCTGGAGCTGACGGCCTTGGACTCCCTGAAAGATGAAAAGCTTGCCCAGCGGCCATGTGCGCACAGAGACCAGAGAGCTCTGACTGCGCACGCGCATGCTCAGCCACATCCCGCTACACACGGGAGACCCAGATCCCTGCCAGGGGCCAGGGCACGGCCGCCATCCCTGCACGTGGGCCGGGAGGGGGATCAGGAACTCAAAGCCATCCTCAAATACACAGCAAGTTCAGCACCACTCAGGGCTACGGATCCTGGGCAGGTGGAGGAGGGACAGGAGGAGGGGGGAGAGGAGGACGGCGAGTGAGGCAGAGCCAGCTGCTTTTGCTATAAGAATAACACATCGTTCAGTGGGGCTTCAAGCTGCATGCCTGAAATCCCAGGACTTGGGAGATGGAAGCAGGAAAGTCAGGATTCAAAGTCACCTTCAGCTACATAATGAGTTCAAGCCCAGCCTGGGCTATCTGAGATACTCAAGAAAAACAAAACGATGGTGCTGTTAGGTTAGGTTAGGAGGTTAGGAGTGTGCAGTGAAGAGCCTTAACTCCAGCTTCAGGGGCCTTGCCTCCCTCTTCCGGCTTCTGAGGTCACCCACAGGCATGTCACACACACACACACACACACACACACACTTTCTCATTTTTTTCAGTAGCCCTGCTAAAAGATGTACAGGCTGAGCTGCAGAGACGGCTCAGAGGTTAGAGCACCGGCTGCTCTTCCAGAGGTCCTGAGTTCAATTCCAGGCACCCACATGGCGGCTCCCAACCATTGGTTCCCTCTTCTGTTGAGCAGGTCTACATGCAGGCAAGACACTGTACACGCAATAAATGAATCTTTTTGAAAACGTACAGGCACGTTGACGTCTGCACTGAGCATTTAAAACTTGGGACAGGCTGGGATCTGCCTCACTTTGCCTAGAGTCCCCCAGGGAGGGGCTGGGGCGTGGCTCGGCAGCCTCACCCAGGTGCACTGATTTAGATTCTTAGTACGGGTCCAGGGATATTGAGTCAGGGAAGAATTGGGGAAGAGGAAAGAAGGAAATGAAATGAATCATCACTGAAACCGGGGAGCAGAAGACACCTGTCCAATTAAGCATTCAGTTTTTGAGGGCTTGAAATGTTTCCAATTTTTCCCACACTTTATGCTTTTAAAGTCTGCAATTCGAGAGACGGCAAGAAAGAGCTCACTAGCCAGGCATCCAGATCAGGCAGGGAAAGAGAGGAACGCGGGTCGGGAACCCAGCCTCCCGCCTGAAGAACAGGGGCCACCATTAGGCCGGAACACGCTGTTCCAGCGCGGCGGGGTCGCCGTCGCACCAACCTGTTCCCGCAGCTCCTGGCTGCTGCGGGGCTCCGCCTGCTCGCCCAGCAGCTCCCGCAGCTGCTCCTCCTCGCGCCGAGCGGCCACCCTTTCCCCCGCCAGCTCCCCCCGGAGCAGGGCCACCTCCACCTCCATCTGCAAGAGAAAAGCAAGAGTTTGGGTGCAGCCGCCTGCGGGTACGGGGCTGGGGGCTGGGGACGGGGCTGGGGCTGGAGGGGCGGGGCTGAGGGCGAGAGGGGCGGGGCTGGGGGGGCTGAGGGCCGGGGCTGAGGGCTGGGGACGGGGCTGGGGGCTGGAGGGGCGGGGCTG